TTGCCATATGACCATGCAGGAATTGATATAAGCAGGTGAGAGTGTGCACATGCCTGCAGTAAATTCATGTGTGTAGCTTTGCACTGCTTGGGTCTGAAAACGCACCTCATCCCACAGCTTCTTTTTTATCTTCAGCTTCTCTTTTCATACAATATGTCAGCCCTGCAGCTAACCAATCATCTGAGCTCCTAATGGTGCATCCATCAGAAGGCTGAAATGGAGGACAGGCGCCAGGAGGAGAGAAAGAATGTGGGGGGGAAGGGAGGAATGTGTTGGGTAAATATGCCGGGGGGTGAGAGGAGCGATGACGTGAAGGAGAACAAAGAGAGGAGAGTAGAGTGAAAAGCAGGAAATGAAGGAGGAAGAGGAAGTGAGGAAAAGAGGAGGAGAGGATGGAGGAGAAGAATGGAAGTGGTGAAGAAGTGTCCTGTCCACACACATCACCTTGGGATATCTGGAATTCAGACTCAATCACCCAGTGGAAATTACCAGACAAGTGGTGTGGAGAGATGAGGAAAGAAGGCGAAAAATGTCTTTCCATTTCTGTACTTTAGTACTTCAGAGACATATTTCTTGTCTCAATTCTCACGAAAACTTAAAAATACAAGACAGATCATTCATTATTTCTTGCAGAGCGTTAAACAGCAACAGAATCATCTCAGGAATTTAGCTTCAGAGGAATTTATACCAAAGTTGATCCCTACAACATTTATGCACCCTGCTGCATATGTGATAAAGAAAGCTTTCTCTAACAGTAGTCATTTACACACAAGATACGGACCCTTCTGGACCATGTACTGTACTTGATCCCACCTGTTTAAACCTTGTCATAAGTAGATATTCATCTGTGTGTACTGCTTGTGTGAGGTAAGAGCTGTGGATTAACAGGGTTATGGAAGTGCTGTGACTGATCCACCACAGCAGACGGTTCAGGCATAAAAGGAAAAGTAGGTAGAAATGTTTAAATTTAAACATAATGATGAAAATGCTTACATTTAGGCTATAATTCAGGAATTCTTTATTCTTCTGCTGCAGAAAATGACTATGACTAAATATACTAAGCACCATCATTATTTTCAGCCTTTATTGGATGTTTATTATGGGGTGCCTCAAAGCCACAGCATTTACAGCTTTTGCAGTGTCTGGCCCTAGATGGGCCCTAATACAAGTGCACATAACTGGGTGGGAACACTTGCAGAACAGTACAAAACAAGTAATGTTGCAACATAAATACTGTAAAACCCAGACAAGCATCAACATCAAGTAATAAATGATCAAATGTAAGCATGGATTAAGCTAACTGTAACAGCACGTGGTCTGGTCTGACCACCAACCTGTGGTGGATCATGGTAGCTACTGTTAGATGGAGATTTGTTTCTCTAACCCTCATCCTGCCACTGTTCATCAAACATGACATAACGTTGCTTTAAGCTTGTGTTGACATGTGCAGTTTGGTTTGAACTATGTCTGCGTTTTTGTTTTTGGTTCAAAAGTCACATGACTCTCCAGAAGCTTGTTACTTGGACAGAGATGTTTGCTGATCTGCCTTTGCTGCCAAGATGTGATTAAAGATATCTGACTCCAATAGTGGATTTTCTTTTGTTTGTTAGGCTTAGTACATTCTCCAAATATGAGAGAGCATAACTTGCTCCCGCATCTACTTTTGCTCATAGATCCTTGTGTCTTGGGTTAACTTTTGATTTCATATTAAGATCCTCGCTTGGACAGACTGAGACTCTAGTCGGGTTATCTGATGCCACTTTCATTTGAACACCATTGCTCTCACACACAGCTGTACTGACAAAGCCTCTCACACCTGTGCACAGTTTGCACTCTGGGTCTCACCCCACTACTGTGATGATCACATTATAAATGTTGGTCCGGTGGATGCTGCACAACTGTGAGCAGCATGGGAGGATGTGGCTATTTGTAACCCGGGGCCCGGTGGCGGTGGATTTCCCCCAATGCTGAGCATGTGTCCAGCTGGTGTGTGTGTGGGACAGGGGGGGTTTCATGGGAAAACAAATGTGATGAATCAATGTGGATTATTGTTTGTGCACCCAAGGGAACATATGGTTAAAGCCCCAGATGACTGGTACGTCACATCCTTCAGAGCACTGTCGTATATGAGCAGAATATTGAAATCAACCTTTCATGTCACTGTTCTTTTCTATAATTATTTGAAAATAATCAGCTTCAGAGCTTACAGTTGGAGGATGCAACATTTCCTTGAGCTATTGCCAACAGAAGTGTTGCATCACATCACCAGAAGCGTTTTGAAATTCAAATTCTTACAGTGCCAGAAGAAACATAACCTGCTCAGTTTTCCCACCAACAAACAAAAGTGTTTCTGTATCTGAGGATTTTGCATTTGACTCATCCTAACAAGTGGCTATCGGTTGCACTTCCTTATTGACTTCCTGGTTTTGACAAGAGTTTTCTCATAAAAGGACAATATTATGATCAGCCAGAGCCGACATACAGTCAGTTGCAGGTTTGTGTGTGTTGCATGTTTGGGGAGTCTCATTTCCTGCCTGAGGTGGTGCAAGACTGTTAATAAGTACAAGCTAAAGACTGTGACACTTTGTCTGCTTCATAGCCACCAAAATAGAAACTCGAGAAACACAGAACCTTTCACTTCCCCCCCAACAGTCCCTAAGTAGGTTGAATCTTGCACTGACAACAAAACCTTGATAATGTGGGTGTTTGACCCCAACGACACATGGTTTAACCCTTTTTCTTCTGGTTTGTATGTGTACAACATACACATGTTCTTGAAGCGTTGGGGGTGTTGTCATAAATGTCTGCCCATGAAGAAACTGATCAGTTTAAGAAGAAAGTTTGAGGATTTCTTAAGCCCAGGGCGGGGTAGTGTGTGTGTGTTCATGTGTGTGCAGTCAAGTGTGGTGTGGTCTGTACAAGAGGCGGAGACAACAAAAGCAGAATGTGATACTTCAGGCTCCACTTCCTCACAGAGCTCCACTGAAGTCAGCACAGAGCAGAGAGCGCCACCTCTTGGTGAATGCATGTCACAGCAGCGATGTGCTGGTACAATTCCATTTCCACAGATAAGGAGGGTACAAGTGCAGACAGGCCGCAGAAAATTTATTTGTTAAGACCTGAGGAGCCTTGTGAGTGTTTTTAGAAATTCCAATTACATGTGGTTGGAGAAAGATAAGGCAAGTGGCCTGTGGTCTGTCGACTGGTGTAAGAGGGTTTTTTCCTTTTTCTCTCTTACATGTGTTCACTGAAGGCCCAGCTGGACCCCGCCCTTTGCAACACACACACACACACACACACACACACAAATAGAGGCAATACACACTTTGAAGTGAGGTCTGTCCTGTAACTGAAAGGTCATAGGTACAGTCCACAGAATGCACTAACCTTCAACCTGAACGGCAAACTGAAAACCTGCCAGAAACGTCCAGTGATGCGTTACATCACACTGCTGGACCCTTAAGCCAGCGCACTTGTGCTCAGAAGGAAAAGTTAAACATTAACACTGCTAAAAGCCTCCCGGAAGGTTTGTGGTTTTAAAAGCTGCTGTTTGAAGACTTGAGAGCCAGAAGCTATTATGTGAAGAGACACAGCTCAGTTTTCCTTCAAGCCTCCATCACATCTGAATCCTGAAAGCAAATTTTAATATAAGATTAAGTGGATGATGTCATACCATGGTTACATAATGCTCATCTATTTATATGTCATGGAGGTATTTGTGCATTAATAATAACATATCTAATTGACAGAAGCATACTTGGAATTAAAGTGCTGATTTTAAATCTGCTCCAGTGATTTAAAAGGTAGTTTTTTCATGTGGAATTCAGCTTCTAGTCTACACTGCCAATTTTCCATTAACTCGGTCATTGGACTTTCTCCAAAAGGCTTCTTGTTCATGGCCATGCCATTGCACACCCATGACATATGTCATAACAGATGTGAAAATGCCATACACCTGATGCAGTAACTTAATTAAAGGGTGTTTTTGGAAAATTTTGCCTAGAGAGCTATGTAAAACCTACTTTGGGATTTGAGCAGTCAGTTGGACAGACAAGACCACTGAAGACATTAGTTTGGGTTTTGTGAAACTGCTGTAGACTTTTTTTTTGTTGATTGAGAGACTTCAGCTGCAGCCACAGAGGACTTTCTGATATTTGTGACATGCAGGTTTATTGGTGGCTCTGAGTTGCTCATACTGTAGCTGTGAATGTGAGCATGAGTGGTTACGTGCCAGCCCTGTGACAGACTCGGTTATAGACTGTGCAGGGTATACCCACCTCTCACCCACTGTCAGTTGGGATCAGCTCCAGCTCCTGTGTGACCCTCAGTGATAAGTGGATGCAGCTACTGGTTCTGGCTGCAGTTCTCAGTGACATTACTCTGGAGCACTTATGACAACTACCTGCAAACTAGTCTATCCACTGTAGTGGTTTTGATGCAGGGAAACACAACCATGAATTATCCTAAACACTCATTCATCTTTTTCCTTCATAACAGCCAACTGCACAACAGCTCGAAGGCTTGCCTCGTCTTGTTATGAGATACCTTCTGCTTCCTGAATTCTTGTCTTGAAGCCACTTGGCTGTTTGCATGTGAGGACTCTGTTTCTGCATGCACACTCCAAACACCCAACTCACGCAAATCCTCCATCGGTGTCATAAATGAGATTGTGAGAATGTCACTCTATGGAATACTTTAATCCCTGGACTTATGAACCTGTGCAACCTGTTGACACAGAGGTGAATCCAGCTTTGTTGTTATTGTCATCACAAAGAAAAGAGTTGTGAAAACAAACACAGATGTATCCTGGTGTTGGAATACTTACAGACACGGTGGGACTCACCTGTTAAGCCTTATGCACACATCTAAATCCCTGCATAAAAACTAATCCTATACATGTCAAACTGTGTGCTTGTTTCAAGCCTGAAACTGATGACAAACCACATGTCTGATTCTATGAGCTTTCAGCGCCATCTAGAAGTGAATTCTGGTATTTTCCTGCTTTGGGAGACGTGTTCAACATGGCTGCTCCCATGTAGACGTGTTGCTGTTTGTGTGTAGAAGCTGCAAACCATGAGAGAATTCAGGTAAACCACTTCACATACATGCAAACATATTTTGGTAAACCACTTCACATACATGCAAACACATATCTGAATGTGTTTAATGGTGCACATTGCTCTGTGGGACATTAGGAGAACTGCATGTTCTTTTTGTTGTCAGTAGCATAAGTTACATTTCTTTATGGGTACGTTTCTTAAAGGTTAGGTGTCTTTATATTATATAATTGTTATCTTTCTTATTTTATCATATGCTTATCTCTGTAGCAACCATGGATACAAAAGAAATAGTCCACTGTGCTCTGCAGATAGAGAAACTCACAGCAAACAGAAGCTATGGCGACATCTCCACCCTCCTCTGTGACCTCGAGAAGTCGCACATCACAACAGAGCAGCTGGAAATGACAGATATTGTCAAAGTTCTCTACAGGCTCGTGAAAACCTGCTCTGATAATGGAATGAAGAAGACAGCCAAGAGCTTGTTGTCCAAGTGGAAGAGACAATACAGCAAAGGTACACTAGGTGTGAAATGCACCGAAGAGAGCAAGGGTCCTGAGAGCTCTTTCAGGATCTCTCCACAACGGGAGACTGGGGATGGAGGAATTTTCCAGCAGGGGGTTTCACACTCTGACAGTAGGCTGGAGAATATGAAGGCCGCTGTAGAAGCTGAAGCATCATCCTTAGTGGAAAAAGATGGCCTCCACGCTCTGACTTCCACTGCAGAGAGCACAGCTGTGTCTTTTGATTTCCCATCTGTAAGAGCCAAATGTGTTCAGCTCCTCCTTGCTGCCCTCTGCCCTGAAACCTCTGATCAGGGCAAGGCTGCAGAGCTGGCTGGAGATATCGAGCAGCACATCCATGAGCTCCACACGTCCAGTCAAGTCAAATACAAAGCTTGTGTAAGGAGCAAGGTGGCCAACTTAAGGAATCCTAAAAATGGTCACCTTCGTCAGGGCCTCCTGAGCGGCTCTCTGTTGCCTGAGGCCTTTGCTGGGATGTCAGCAGAGGAGATGGCCAATGCAGAGCTGCGGCAGCTGAGGGAACAGTATTCATCCCGGGGTGTGAGCGAGAGGCAGCTTCCTCAAAGGATAGAAGGGACACAGACGCAGAAGATTCGCTGCAAGAAATGTGGAGGGTCAGACTGTAGGGTGACTCAGGTGTCCAGGGGGGCACTTTTCTTGCCTGCGTGGGTGAGGCGAGGCGGCCCTGATGAGGACGCAATGACTTTTGTGACCTGCATCGGGTGTGGGCAGCAGTGGTACCACAGCAACTGGGTCTGCCTCTAAGTCCAAGTCTGTGTAGGGCTGAAGCTAAGGCTTACTTTAATTACTGATTGACTTGTTCAACTAATTGTCTCAGACCTAAAAATATTTAGTCCACTATTATGGAAACCTGTAAAAACCTAGAGAATATTCTGCTCTGATGAGCTGATATCAGTGACTTTTTACATTTTGAACCGTCACTGTTGCTGCTTCATTTTTTTGGAGCTTGAGAAAACAAGTTGGGAACATTGTGCTGCTTTTCTTATTTCTCAAAAAGAAGCTCAATTTTAACCCAAACCTTCTGACAGTGGGTGGAAAATGGAAACAAGAGACTTTCTTACAGCCTATTAAATATTTTCTTCAGTACAGAAAGGGAGGAGTGATGGAATGCAGAATGGAAACAAGAGACAGAACATTCATGCAGTGCATGTTTGTGGTTGAAACAGGAATCCTGAAGGATTCATCCTTTACTTTGCATGGCAGAATCTTCCAGCTCCAGGCACAAAAGCCAAGCCACTGCATATTGCAGCTGCAGACTGAAAGGGAAGTGGCTCTTATCATTTTCTTCCCACTGAATCATTTCCGGTCTCCTTTGCTTTCTCTAATTGTCAATCGGTTCATCACTCCTTACAATAGCTCATTTAGCTGCTTCTCTCTTGAGCATTTTCTGCCTATAGAGAACTGCTGAAAAGCCACTAATACCTTGACCTTTGCCCTCACTATTGCATTACTTTCCTGATCCTTAGGGAAATGTCTGTCCTGTTGCACCACTTGTAGGTCATTCTGAGTACAGGTTCTAGGTGAATTCCTAAGAAAAGGATGACAACATACCCTGAGCCTCCTACAATATCCCACTCATTTGAAGCAAACTGGAGCCAGTAGACGACACATGTGACTTGTGTGAGTGAGTATGTGACTTAGGAATCTGGCCTCCTGACCTGCCTCAGTGCTGGTTCCTCTTCCTCTGTGAAGCCTGCCAATGTGGCGCAATGGCCCATTTACATGTATTGGTGACGTCACATCCACTCAAGCTCAGAAAGCTGTTAAAGTCAAAGGTTTTGTGTAAAGCTGTGTTGCTTTTTAAATTAGGGTTGTCTGAAGACAAAAGCCCCTATAATGAAAAGGCAGAGTCAGAGTTGGTCCTGCAGTACCTCAGATACAGTAGAAGTGGACGTATTGTGTCTCAACTCTCTGGGATTGATCTCCTCAGCTTTTGGTCATACTGAATGATTTCATCCTTTCAGTCATGGTGGTGTGTCAAATCAGTGCTCTGCATCCATTTCTGTTTTCTCTCCCTCACTCCAACTCAGATAGAAACAGAGCACCCAGCAGATGAAGGTGTGGAGCTGCCATAAATCTGATACTTAGTTTCAAAGTAAAACACTAGTTTGTGCTCTGATGATGAATTGTAACCCACTGCAACAGGCCTGCAAACCTGCACCGATGCATCTATATAATCCTGTGTTACTGCAGCGGATATTGTTATAAATGGAGGGCTGTCAGTCGCTTGGGTGCAGCAGGTTGTCAGGTTATGTGCAGCAGGTTGTCAGGTTATGTGCAGCAGGTTGTCAGGTTATGTGCCCAGTGGTTCCCAGCATTCTGGCTTGTGACCCCTAACAAATCGATGTTTCCTTGAGACCCTTCATCAGAAGTTATGGCCTTAAAGTTCTTTATTTGAAACTTTTACAGTGTGAAATGATGAAACAATGTATTTCACAAGAAAAAAAATCATGAGGCGCGTGAGGAGAGGAGGCGCGTGACAGGAGGAGGCGCGATGCTCCCAGGTCATATGAGCGTCACCGGAGCAGCGGGGACATCGGAGTCGATATGCGGCTAAGTTGTGCTGTGAACCGCACGAATGTAACCGCTGGCACCGGGTTGTGACCGTTCCACCCTAAAATTTTGATGTTATCTAAACATAAGTAAAGTTTATTATGCAGCCATGTTAATGACAGTGTATGCAGGTTTTAGGAGTGATAAACATCTCTTGAAAGTCAATGTGTGCTAGCTGAAACCGGTGAAGCTAACCTGCTCTTAATGCATGAGTAACTTACACTACTGTAGCTAATTAGTTTCATTTTAAGTAGTGTTGTCTTCTACTGTTATGTAATACTGTTTCCTAAACAGTTACATTTTCAACAAAAGCGGCCAAAGACACTAAAGCGATGGTAAAGATGAATAACTGGCAAAACAACCGCGTCCCGGTGGCTGCTCGTCCGAAAATGGACCACTTGTGGGTTTGCGTGCTGGAACCCCCTCATATGGTTTTATATCGCAAACAACACATATCATTACATGCAAGTTTACACAGATCCTCATATGGTTTTATATCGCAAACAACACACATCATTATTTGCAAGTTTACACAGACCTACAAGAAGCGGTTGTCACTGCTGTCACACCATGTGTTGTTGCTGCGTATGGTATTGTAGTATTTGAGTAGTATCAAATCATGTGCTAAGTTGTTTCAGGGAAACCTTCATGTTTCTACTCGTGGAGCAGCCTCCTCTGTAAAAACTAGCCTTCTGCTGAATAAAGCACATGACTCCTGAGTGTGTGACTGTGTGTGTGTGTGTGTGTGTGACCCCATGTATTACTGCAAAACATAGCTGTTTTTTTCCTTTCTCCAAATGTTAATGTTTCCCTTGAGGAAGCAACAGGAGCAGCACTACAGTCTGTAAATCCCAGGACAAAGACTTCATGTTCCCAGATTTCATCCCCCAGGCAGAAAATGGTTCTTGTTGCCAGTTGGTGTGACAACGTAGCTGATGATGCTTCACTTAGTGTAACTTGTACTAACAAGCAGTAGATTTGATCTCATAGCTGCTGTAGTCCACACTCCAGTTGGATATGACTGATAATCCGTCTGTAACATATTAAACAAGCTAGTCATCAAACTAGGGTTACAAGACAGAGCAATGTGTTAAACTTACTTTATCGTTAGTCACAAACTGGTTCTGCAGAACTGGAATTATTTTTCATAACTGTACAATAACCTGGCCCTGAAAACTGAATTAGTGATGCTCAGCTTGTTTTTTTTTATGGTTTTTAAGCAATACTCCACCATAAATGTATAATTTGAGTAGGTCAGCATCTCACAGTTATGTATGATTAATGATTGACTAATTGATTAATTGTCTCACATCTTCTTTGGAGAGTCACATGGCTTACATCCACATATTGTAGTGAATAAATGTTTAGAACTAATCATAGCAGCTGACAAACTGCTTTTACTTTAGAACTGTGACTATTACACAGCTGCTGTCCTCTGCAGATGTGCACACTGTTTAGAGCCACAGTCAGGCTTTAAGGATTCAGTATGTGATAGAGACATGGGGCAGTTGGTCTGCAGACCTCTCATAAACACTTTTTATTAAGGTTTGGTACAGCTACAAAATGAGTATTTGTACCAACCTTTGTACTAAAAATATCACTGAGTGATACTGTGACAGAGGTGGGCCAGGGATGAGACGGTGACGCTGTAACGGTGGGTTTTTAAATCCTCTTTTAGTTGCTGTTGAATTGCATCTGACTCTCTGCTCCTGTGATCAGTGACGGATCAATTCATGTAGAATGTGCTACACACAGCGGCTTATTAATTGCAGAGTGTGATGAAGGTGCTGTGGCTGTTTAGCAGGATTTTCTCGTTGACTGGGGTTCATTAGTTCTACTCACAGTATAAAGACACATGTAAACATTGATTTACAGACATGGTGTGGTAAAGTGAAAGATGACTGAGAAGCAGTTTGCTCTTATCTCAAGCACAGCTTCTATTTGTGAGGCCGAAGGTAAAAAGCCTGTGAATAACATAACATCATGTGTTTACTGAGGCCACTCCAGAGCTGTTCTCCAGTGGTCCTTGTTCCCAAATGCTGACCCAGTGTGAAGCTGGTTATTTAATCTGATTGAATTCTTTATTACAACAATTTAGGTTCAGCTTGTAATCTTTTCAAGTGACAAAAGTTGTAGATGGGTTATCTCGGGTATAGTAGGGCTGCAACTAATGATTATGTTCTTGATTAATTCTTTAGGTAGAAAATAGCCAAAGGTGATTTATTCTTTTACAGTAGCTTGTTTTATTCAGCCAAATGTCCAAAACCTGAACGTGTTCAGTTTACTATCAGGCATCATGTTTGAGAACCAGGCGACTGGCTGGGTGATTTTGCTTGGAAAAACCATTAAAATAATTAATGCAGACCCATTTCCTGTCAGTCGCGCCTAATTGATTCAAAGAACTAAAACTTTTTCCACATCAGTTGCACATTTGCTGAGGTTGAATGTTCATTAATGATCTTTGTGAAACAGCAGTTTAACAATCTTATCAAAGTCTGAGCAGTTACAAACCTTTGAGCCACATGTTATGGCTCAGTTGAGCAGAATTCATGTTAAGCATTTGAATTTTAGATAAATGGAGACTCAAGTACTTTGTGCCAAGCTGTTTGCTAGTTAATGACAATGAAGAGATTGAAGACCGAATTGATGAGCAAGCTAAATGTACAACACTGAGCTGTTTGTAGATTGTATGTTATTAACAGTTTGGATGTTCTGTATAAGTTAAAGTTTCTGTGCTCTCCAGGTGAAAGTGCTTTCTTTCATTCAGTTCACTGGTGCAGACTAATAGGACCAGGACTGGCCTGAGCTGTCTCACCACAGCCATGATGTCCAAGTCCGCTCTCCTCAAAGTGATCCTGCTGGGTGACGGCGGTGTTGGCAAGTCTTCGCTCATGAACTGCTACGTCACCAACAAGTTTGACTCGCACCTCTTCCACACTATAGGCGTGGAGTTCCTCAACAAAGAGTTGGAACTGGATGGGCGACGCGTCACCCTGCAGATCTGGGACACGGCGGGTCAGGAGCGCTTCCGTAGTCTGCGCACACCTTTCTACCGTGGCTCCGACTGCTGCCTGCTGACCTTCAGTGTGGATGATGGACAGAGCTTCCACAACCTGGCTAGTTGGAAGAAGGAGTTCTCTTATTATGCTGATGTCAGGGACCCTGACAGCTTCCCCTTTGTGGTTCTGGGCAACAAACAGGACGTGCCTGAGCGACAGGTGTCAGCGGAGGATGCTCGACAGTGGTGCTGCGAGAACGGAGGACACCCGTACTTTGAGACAAGCGCCAAGGATGCTACAAATGTAGCGTCAGCGTTTGAGGAGGCAGTGCGTCGTATTCTGGCGCTGGACAACAATGCTGATCACCTCATCCACACCAACACAGTGGACTTGCAGAGAAAGAGTCAGCGTGACTCCACCTGCTGCTAAGCTGAGGGACCCGTAGAAAAGACCAGACTCATGATGTTTCTGCAGCTGCCGCGCGGCGTGCAGCTTTGACTCTACACATAGAGGAACTGGTGTTTGCTGAGCAGCTGCTGTACAGCACCTGATACCCTTGGCCAGACTGTTGATGAGCAGTTCAGCAAATCTTGATCTTTTAGACCAAAAACTGACAATGGTTTGAGCCAATATTGAGCATTTTTACACCGTCAGCCACCTTTTTTCAATTCTTGACCAGCTTACATTGGGCCCCTGTTGGGGGCATAATTATTAATTTACAAAAGCCATTAAATAAATATTGTTTTTGCAGATTTCATAGAATTATTTGTGGACAGTGGCACTTCATGAGTTTGAGAGGTAAAAGCCTCAGCTTTATGCTGGGTGTATCTTTAAGGAGTATTTCCACCACAGTAAGAGTTTGAGACATGCTAAGGATGAATACTGTTTGACTGATGGACATGTGGCACAAAGTCTCAGGCCATATAAAGACAAGTTCTGAGTTCTGAGGCTGCAGTTTGAAGTATAGGAATAAAGCTAATCAGTCAGACTATACATGTTTACAGATTAATACTGTGATATATTTTTTGTGTTGATTGTCCTTAAACAGCTCAGTAAGTCCACACCCTCAGAATTTAAAATACGGGTTAGTACAGACACTGTCTTTCTGGTAAATACATTGATGAGGCTGTTATTCATATGATCAGCTAGACTTTAATCATTATTTGAGATGAGTGTTGCTTTCTGTTCTGTTAATGTGACTGTCAAACCAAAGAAAAATGTTGAAATGTGGGATTTCTCTAAATAAAAAAAAAGATTTGTAGTTAACTTGACATAAATGGATCCCATATTTATTTATCACAAGCTCTCCACACTGCAATGTTGTGAGATTCATAGTACTATAATCACACTCTAGTTTGTGCAACACTTTAAGGCTCCCACCATTTTTTTAGACAGGGAATAAAATACGTGCCAACAATAAAGCTGGAGAATAAAATCTTTTCTCCTTTTTTTTTAGAACGTTACTGTCAGTCCACAAGGTGGCGTCATAAGTCTTAAAGATGCACGCCTTGGGAAGCGACTGGGAAGCTGATTTCTATGTCTCAGGTGTCATTATGCATTTCAGAGACAAGGCCATGTTGAATTACAGCATTAACCCTCCTGTTATGTTCATTTCTCAGGAACAGCAGTGATGTTCCTGGGTTAACTTTATTACTAACTATTTCAATCAGTGGTGAAATGGTGTTCTTTACCCTTCACAGATTATGGTTCAATGAGGATAATACACTCTGTTTTCATAAAAAAAGCATGTTAGAACTTTTTAATGTACATTGGAAAGACCTACATATAAAATACATCATTTTTACATGCCATTGTTTTTTTAAGTTCATTTTACATTTTGAAATCTTTTCTTTTTATGAAGTGATGATAAATTAACAAGACACTTCTGTTCTGAACAGTATCTATGTAATATAAACACGCAGGGGGAGGTTGCAAATATGTGAAATGAACCATTTTCATTTTATATGTTGATTACACCTGTTAAGCCAAGCAGAATAAGTTTCATAGCAATAAAATACTTTAACCTATTGTTTTTAGATGTTTTAACTTTACACGTGACATAACAGGAGGGTTAAATACTGGTTTAAGGCTCTGCACCTCACACGACGTGTGTTCACTTATTGGTCAGACTGAAATTGGACGGAGGTCTTAGGGGAATAATGTGGGCTCCCAAATTGCATGAAGTAATATGAATGATGTTTTGTTTTATATGGTGGGGATTTTTTTGTTTGTGTTACCTCAATAAGTGTTGAGTTAACTTACAACTCTTTGTGTTCCCATGTAATTCAGCCATTTCATCCTAGAACAGCCCTGACGATGCACATCTCGAACGGAATTTTACTAAATAGCGAAAGGGAGCATTGCATGGACATGTCTTGGTTTCATATGTTCTATATGGAGTCCTAAGGTCAGGCCTGTGGGTTTACAGCTTTTACAGTGATGAGGCTGAACACACATAAGTAAGAATAGTATCCCTCAAATAGGTTTACTGCTTCATGAGGTCTCTTGCAGTAACCAGGCGTGATCGGGCCATTCTGTATATGTCGCACGGAACACACTGGCAAATCATGCGCGCACATTGGATCACAAATTAATCAACAGCCAATTAAAAAAGAAAAAAAAAAACAAAACTTCTGGACCTGCAGCGGACCC